AGTTATTCAATGTTGTCATCTGTTGTTAGATTACACTTCCTTGGATTTTTTAAATTTGTTTCCTTTCATGTTTTCTTTTTTTGTTTCCTCAGTCAAGCTTTATGTTAAAAGCAACCTGTCATTTGAGTTCATTATTACTTGGGAGCATTAGGCATGGCTTATAGTTGCATTATCTTAACGTAGCCCTTTCTATTCAGCAACTGTGTATGTATTCTTACCATACAGGAAATTGTTATGTAAAATGTGGCATGAACACAAACCTGTCAGCTTTATATTTGTGGTTGGCAAATATAAGAGGGGGAAGATAGAACGGTACTAGGAAGGTCATGAGATGTTAGTCTAATTAGCTTGGTTTTGGCAGAGGAAAATTGTATCATGCTGATCTGAGAACTCTTTGAACTTGTCATTGTTGTGGACAAAGGAGGAGAAAAAAAAAAAAGAATAAATTAGAGCTTTCAAAATGCCTTTGACAAGTTCTTATCCAAGAGGCTGTTGAACAAGCTGAGGGAGTCGTGGGATAAAAGTGAAGGGACTGTTTATGTAAAAGGCACAAACAAAAATGTTTTAATCTTGGCAAAGGTAAGCTCAAGAGTCCAGAAGCTGCACTTGAGATATTCTCTAATGATCGGGATAGCAGCTGGCTAGTGAGGTGGTGACACAAATAAGGACCAAACTTCCAAACTTTTAATGGAAACCAAAATAGGCTGACTGATTGGGCAGAACAGGGATGGTTTGGATTTTAATGAGAGTAAGTATAAAGCAATGTGTATAGAAAGAAAGAATGTAATCTGCCTGTGTTTTACAGAGCTTTACGTAGATTCAGAAAGGGTGTTGGGCATCTGTGTGTCAGATTGAAGACAAGTCTCTGTGCAGTTAGGTTTTAAAGATAAGGTATGGTGGCATTATAGAAACTGTTGCTGCTGGTCTTTTCCAAGTGCAAAATTTAGTAAGTTTCAGAAGTGATTCCATGTGTATATATCTATATGCCAGAATCATTGATTGTGTAAGGACCTCTTTGAAGAGAAACTAAATGCTCTGGCTTTAAACGTAAGCTATCAGAGGGCAAGGTGGGATGTAATGTAGAGGATGAATGTGAATTTTGCACATTCTTGCATGTCTGAGAGTGGTCATCAAAAACAGAGAAAATAGTTTTTATGCTGGAAATTTTAATGTGGAAATCATGCAGTAGTCTGTAGCTTAAGCAGGTTGGATAAAACCATCAAACCCTGGTTTCCTACCCCAGGTGAGAGTAGTATTTTTCTAGATTAAAATTCACTTTTATAATTGGATAAACACTCCATATGTGTCTTGCTTTCTTCCTACTACTTTCTTTAAGTGAAGAAAGGGTGCTTTAAACCAGAACCTCATGCAGTTTTACAGGTAATAAAACTTGAAGGTATTTTGAAGGTATTTGCAACTCCTGTCTTCTTATGGGCTAATGCGTGGTGATATTTTGATAATTGAGAAGTAATAAATAGGTTTACAAATCTTGCATATCACCTGGGAAGTGAGAGGACATAACATCAGAATAGTACAACCTGTTGAGTGTTTGCCATGACCATAACTGCTAAAAGACCAAGCAAGTTAACAGTAAGAACATGTGGGTATACTTTATGGACAAGTTCTCAGTGAATCCTGTCTTATTTTTGCTGAAGGAATTGTTTCCAGATTACAGGACTAAAAATGACCAAGTTACTTGGTTCCTGTGAAGAGGAACAAGTTGGCAGATACTGCCCCTAGTTTCAGTAAACTCTGACAGAGGCAGAAGATGCTTTGTGGGGAAGACTTGCAGATGGGATTTCTTCCTTCTGTAATCCCCTGGGGAAGGTAGGCAAACATCTGGTTAGTGGGCTTGTATTTAGGCTGTTAAGCCGTTGTATCAGGTGTCTTTGGGTTTTGTTTTGTTCTTTTTTTAATACTAGAAAAAATCTGGTCTTTACAAAGTATGTTTGGTCACCAGTTGCTGCTGGTGCTTCTGAGAAAACAGTTCGTGATGTAGGTCTTAAGTCAGGTCTGCTAGGTAAATTGTAGGGATTTTTAATAAACATGGCAATGTATCTGCTGTGACAAGATCACATAATTCTTGTTATTCCTCCAAACCATTTGACAGAAGCCTGAAAGCTAGAAATTGTGCTCAGAAACACCAACAGGGATCAGAATTGGACATTATTTGGCTATTATGACGTTTCTTATACAAATCTTGTTCTGCGTTCCTGCAGTAGGTATCTTAAGAATATTCCTGTCTACTTCTCACAAGCTCTGTATACATGCTGAAACTTAAATGGATATTTTAGAGATTCCGCATGTTTCCTATCCTTTTTGGAAATAAAGCACCATTATGGGTTAGTAACGACACTCTTTAAATGTATTTATTAAGGCAGTAGTTGAGTGGATAAATGTAGAGGTAGGATTCTTCTCTTCTCTTTTTCATCGATTTTGTTCGGTATAATAAGAAGGTCCACTGGAGTGGTGTGGGTAGAACACTTTCTGCAAGAGAAGGACATTCCTTTTGAATTTTTTATGTACAGAAATGTACTGCTACCTGTCCAGGGGTCTCCCTCTTGTGTTACCTTAGACAAAGCCTTTGTTTCTTGAGGGACTGTCTTTACTACTTAACTGAGGCAGTGTACCATACAAACCCCTGTGTACTGTTTCCAGTGTCTAGTGCTCTCTGCAGAATGCTACATGGTGTAATGTAGAGATTACTGCTTTCAAAATGACAAAAAAAATTTTGTCATTTCCAATGCAGTTTGCAAATGCAAATGTTCCTGTTATTGAAACTGATGCATTTTTCTGCCAGTAAGCAAAACAGTAGAAATAATGTGGTGAAAGCTGTCCCTTCTCTGCTTGCGTGTCTCTAAATGAAGTTAACTTTCCTGCTGACGCCAAAATATTGATAGATAGCATGTTAATGTGATTAACCAGAAATGAACAACAGCATATAACATGTGGAGATCTCTGAAGGGGGCAGAGTTCTTCCTTCGTAGTCCTAGTATGACCAAAGAACACTGACCTCTCTGGCATTCCAAAATGAACAATATCTGACTTCTTTGTTTAACTGCGAATGCAAAGTAATGCAAAATATGGAAAGATGGCAATGTTAACTGATGCAAAAAAGAAAGCAAGAAATGTATGAAAGTTCACTTACATTCTGGTGGGGAAAATATAATTTAATGCTCCATCACTTCTCATCGAGATTTATGCTTACTTTCAGCACTTAAAGAATATTTATTTCACTATTAAAAAAAAAAAAAAAAACAAACCAAAAAAACCAAACCAGAATGTTAGGGAGCAGCAGCAAGGTGAGGCTGAAGGGAAGGCAAGCTGCGAGTCAATGGTGACAACAAGGTACGTAGAGACAGTACCCTGATTGATAAGGACACAGTCCCCCAATACCTGCAGGAGGCAAATGGTGTATCTGATGACAGTAACCAGGTTCAGCCAGCAGTCTGGGTCTGCAGGCAAGTCTATAGTGATGATCTGGGGTGAAGCAAAGAAGTCAAGTCAATGGGTCACAGTCTGGATCAGTGGGGTGCATGGCCAGGCACAGGCACGGCTGCAGTATAGCTCAGGTGAGAACCAAGGACAAGTGCCTTAGCTTGAATGCAGCTTTTGAGTGAAGGCGAGGAGGCCCCAGACAAGGTTTCTCACACCTCTTTATTACACAGCTCTTCACAATGGTCTTCACTGGGAAGATTTGCCTTCAGGAATCCCGAGTATCTGAAACCAGTGGAAAAGCCTGGAGCAAAGTAGACACAACCTTATTAGAGGCGGATCAGGTTAGCAAACATTTAAACAAATTGGACACATGCAACTCCATGGGACCCAAGGAATACGCCCACAAGTGCTGAGGTAGCTGGTCAAAGTCATTGTGGGACCAGTCTTGGTTTTCTCAGAAAGGTCATGATAGTTGGAGAAGGCTTCTAAAGATAGGAGTGACATTTACTTTCTTCCAATCCTCAAAAAGGGAAAAGAGGACTATCCAGGGAATTACAGCTTGGTCAGCCTCATCTTCATCCTTGGGAAGGTGATTAAGCAAATAATCCTGTAAAGCATTGCTAAATGTATTAAGGGCAGGGTGGTGACTGGAAGTAGTTGGCATGGATTTATGAAGGGAAATCATGCCTGACCAACCTGACAGCCTTCTACAACAAATTGACTAGGTTGTTGGATAAGGGGAGAGCAGTGAATATTGTTCATCTTGACTTCAGCAGGCTTTTGTCACTGTTTCCTATTGTGTCTGATGAAGTATAGACTAGATGAGTAGACTGTAGTGGACTGAAAACTAGCTGAACTGCCAGGCTCAAAGGATTGTGATGGGGGCATGAAGTCCAGCTGGAAGCCAGTCATTAGTGGTGTATCCCAGGGATTAATACTGGGGCCATCCTTGCAGATACCCAAAACATGACACAATCCTGGGTAGCTGGCTCTAGCTGACCCGACTTTGAGCAAAGGGGTTGAAGTGGTTGATGTCTGGAGTGCCTTCCAACCTCAAGGATTCTCATTCTGTGATCCAGGGTTGCACAGCTGCACAGTGTCGATGTTGGCCTTGACCACAGGCAACTGAACTCTACCAAGAGTGGGGGTTTTTTCCTACAGTGTGCGTTTTTCCTACTTAATACCTGTTCTTTTGTAGCCTACTGGATGCTTTTTTTATGGCGCAGGGAAAGGATTAATCTCAAAGTAGATTCTGAGCTTCGACATACCTACAGAACAGATGTTGGCATTTGTGCTTGAAACAGTTTCACTCCAATGCTGTTCATTAGATACCCCAACTGTTAAAAACTACAGAAGCATGACATAGGCTAAATATCCTTGCTTTTTCAGTTCATGTGTTGCCCTAGTTTCATTTGTTCTTCTGTCAGGAAAGTTGGCCAATGGATACAGCCATAGAGAAAGGATAGATAGAAACTGCCAGATAAATGTTTTCATTCTAATTAGTGAAATAAAGGAATTATAGACCATGCCATGCTAATCATTGTTACAAACTTCTTACTTAGGTTGAATTTGGTTGAAGCTTTTGTGGTGGATCCAGAACTACGTCAGTGCCTTCAAGAAGATCTCTTACGTCGCTTCCCAGATCTTAACCGTCTGGCAAAGAAATTTCAGAGACAAGCAGCAAACTTACAGGACTGTTACCGAATGTATCAGGCTATTAATCAACTGCCTAGTGTTGTAGAAGCACTAGAAAAACATGAAGGTAACACTACCCCTGTCTATTTTCAATGTCTTATAATACACAGATGATACAAAGAGATAGTGTGTAGATTTCCAAAGATTACTTTTTTCCTGTGTACTTTTGTTGCAGGAGGCTAAAGCTTAAAGACATTTGAATTTGAAATGAACTGAAATTCTGAAATGCCAATCAGATACTTAAACATAGCCAAATCTTTACATGAAAAAGTGTTCCAATTAGTGTGTAGCTGAAATACTTGAACTGTTGGGTGATGGTCTGGTAATCTTTGACATCGACTTGTCTCTAAGAATTCTTGACCAATTGCATGTGTATTATGACCTTACAAGATACCATTCATGCAATATTGTTGTGTTCCTTTTGAAGACACTTTGCACTTTGGGTTGTAATTAAACACAAAAAAAACCAGTTTAAGCATTATCGGTGTAATTTGAATGGCCCCCCCCCCGCCTCAAATCATAATGCTCCAGTATTTAATAAGAGTAACATGGCAGGATTTCTTCTGATCTTCTTTAGCATGAAGCTTCAATGCTATGACAAGCAAGTCTAGAAAATACAAAGGTTGCTATTTCTTTTCCTTTTCTATGTGTTACCAAGAAAACGCAGAGTAAGACAGTGTCAGTGTAACAGGGGGGTGATACAATACAGCAATAGCAATCCTAGCCTGTCCGATAGCATATTTTTGTAGAAGCCCATTAATTTGTTTGAAAATCTCTTTGCATAAAGCAAGCACCAAAGCCTTAAAGACAAATATTTTTTAAAATGGTATGGTTACAAAAATATCTATCCTGTATTTGAGTAGACAGTAACATTACCCAGTATCTTACACTTTTCTGTAATATAGTTTTATGACTTCAAGTAATGAGACTTACCTTCTAAAATATTAATCTTAAATTAATTTTTGGTTGCTGGCTGTGTTATTTCCAAAAGCAGTTAAGATTTAAAACTGGGAAGGAACTGACAGATAAATTTTTTTTTTTTTTTTTTTAAAAAAGAGCTACGCCACGCTTTAGGTGCCTCAGTCATGTCCCTTTGGCTTTTCCAAAGACTCTGCTTGTTTTTGCCTTGGCATGGAGCTCTTGGATTTCCATCTTAAACTGATGTATTAGTTCAAACTGCTTGCTTCCTGCCTTTACTTCTTTTTCTATTAGTTGTCATTTGGCTCAACAGAGTTTCTCTGTCATAACATTGGGGTAGGAAAACAATTCCATTTTTAGAAGTTTTGAGGAGCAAGCTGTGCAAGGCAAACTGCTAAGCTCACCATATGGAAAAATTAATAGACTGAAAAAGGTTCTTGCTGTTTTACACTTGAATCATTCGGCCTTAGTAGGGCATACATCAGCGGTATATCTAAGATAATTTACAATAGGTGAAATGCGTTATTTTTATTTTTCTTTGTACTTGTACGCACTTGTTTAAAGTACAAGAATGGTTGGTAATTTTGAATGTATGTGACTGATTCAGACTGGATCTGATAATTTTCCTGTTTAAGACTGTACAAAATCTGACTTTCCATCTCTTGATGGTTTAAAAGAAAGATTTTTGACAATTCTGAGTATCTGCCAGTTTCAGAACTTTCTTTTCTTGTGAATGGTTATGAGGAGATAGAGCATGAAGTGATCAGCAGTGATTGCCTTTCAGTATGAAGCATTGCTTTTTTGAGATGCTTGTTTTTATGGATGATGAAAGCTGAGGAGGGGGGTAATGAGTGAAGATGACTTTTTTATTTTTTTAGACATAAGAAGCCTGCATAAGATGGGAAAGGACTCTGAGTCATCAAATCATTTTGCTGTTGCTGGCAAAAGGGACCAGTTGTTCATTACTCAAATTGCTGGGGCATAAAATCTAGGTACTTACAAGATGTCTGTCTTCAAGAAGCTGCTGAAGCGTCTTCCTTTCCATCTCAGACTGACATTCTAGTTTAAGCATGTAAATATGCAGGATACCGGAATTGTGTGCTGGGTTCCAGGTGTATTTTTACCATATTGTATACAGTGGCTGGAATACCCCCTTACTGCTTTTGGAAACGCCTCTTACTGCGTGTTCCATCACAGTTCTTTCCATGACTGTTGCACTGGTGTGTTATAACCATGTTGTGATTGAACTTAGCTGTTGCCCATCCTTTGTCACTTCCAGCTGATTATTCCTCTACTCATAGTGGAAATTCGTTTATCTATCAATGCGTCATCTTGCTTGCTGCTAAATTTTACTTTGTTTCTATTAGCCCAGTTTTCAAGGTCAGTTAGTTATGTTCCTGATTTATTTTGTTCCAATTTCATCTACTGATATCTTCCACTTTGTATATTTTAGTGAATTTTATAAACAGTCTTCTTTTGTGCGTTAATATTATTAATTCACACATTTTAAAAAGATAAATGCTCGTATGAGCCCTGAAGGAACTGTATTGCTGATGTCCTTCCAGCTCATTCATCTCTTGCAAGTCGGTGATGTCCTCTTTATCTGCCTTCTGATCTTTGTATTAATCATGAATCTTGCATCTTAGCATCCCAAGTGACACTGTATTGAATGCTTTAGAAGAGCCCAGATTAGGTCTACAGATTTCCCTTTGTCTTAGGCATTCAGTTATTTCAGACAGATGTTGCACTATACAGGTATCATCTGCCTCTAATAAACTCATACTATATTTTATCCCAATTTCTGTTTTGCTCCTTGTTCTTTCCTCATCATTTTTTCTAAGACCTTTTGTAATATCAAAATGGCTGGTTTAAGTGCACTTAGTCATAGAGATTTGTCTGTGAAAACATATAGTGTCCTTGATAGAATAGTGTCAGTTTTCATACTTCTGTAACTGTATAAAGGTTTCAAGTTTGAAGATTAGTGCTTGATTTTAATTTCTATACAAAGTTTTAAACCATATTAATAGTAAAGTCTTTAATGCATGTAATAAACACTTATCTGTGCTTCAGTAAGTAAATTATGGTTTAAATTAAAAATTGTACCTGGGAGCAGATAGGCTTTGTGATCAATATGCAGCTCTGCTTTTGACGGTACATAGATCTATTATTCTTTCTCTCAACGTTTAGCTTACATGCTAATAATGTTGAGTAGGTGCAAAAGTGGTTGTTTTTACCCTGCATCTTTTATATGAGTTTCTGAATGCAGGTACAAGACAAGTTGGAGTCTAATTTAGAATTTTTCAATGGTGTTTCTTGTTCATATTCTTTTAAGGCCAAGCGTTATGCTTTTAAGAAAAGCATACACATAGCACTTCTATAAATCCTCAGTATTCACTGACTTCACTATTTTACTTTTTTCAAGCATTGGATACTGAATATGAAGGTGGATTGCAAGTGTAAATCAATTTTGCAATATATCAGTTTGAACCATATCATAAATATATGTAAATACATTAGTATTTTATTTACTTAATAAATCAGTATTTTCTAATTTTTGAATGTGGCATCTTCCTATGGTGTCTGAAGATGTACTCTTCAAACTTAAATAATGAAATGGTATCATGAAACTTTCCTACTTAGCCGTTTCAAGAAAATAAATTCTAATTGCTACTTTAAGTTCAAACACAATCATTTTTCATTAATTCAAGAATACTGAAGATCATTTCTTTGTGTGTGCCATGCACTCTGCCACCTGGTGCACTGGGAACTGCTAAGTCCACTCTGAAGAAGTCCTCTTCTTTTCTGCTCTTCAGACTCTGCATTCTTTACTACCTCCTTTTATTTTCTAGGTTGGTTTAGATCTGTCTTCTTACAGGAGGGGAAAGAGCAAGCAAGAGATACAGAATAAAAAGCAAGCTGTACTTTATTTCAGATCTCTCTTAATTTTGAAGATTTTTAGACAGCAGATGACTCCATTTTGACAAGTTCAATAATCTCTCAACAACATGTAATTTTTTTTCTCTATTAATAGGTAGTAATCAGTTAAGAGCTTTAACTTTGAAAGCTTGGGGGAGTGGGGAACTAAAAAGGCACAGGAGGAAAAGGAAACAAACGGAACTTTTTCTTTCTGCTTGAGTTATGGTGCTGAGAGAAAAGAGAGATTTCCTTGGGTAATCACGTCCTCACTCTGTGACTTCTATAAGTTTGTACGAAAATGTTTCCTAGGAAAGATTAGGACTTTTTCCCTAGTCTGGTAAGAGATTGGGAGGCTCTGGAATAGCCAGAGCTTAATTCTGTGTTTCTCTGTTCGTGCAAAGCCTTGCCTGTAAACATCAGAGGCAAATATTGTAATTCTGTACATAATCCAATGACTATAAGCTCATAGCATTGGATTTTTTTTGTAGCTTTTTGTGTAAATCATATAGTCAATAATGCTAATCTTTCTGTGATTAAGTTGTATATTGAAGTGGCTGCAAAGATGTAAACATTCATTTGCTGACAGAGCATTTTCACAGCTGGCTGCTGGATAGGTGCTTATTTGTAGGCCTGAAGAAAATACTTCGTTCACAGAATTGGCAATATCCGTGCATGCTAAGTTAACCATGAACTGCATTTTGCGTTCAATGCTTACAGTGTTCTGTGGACTGCCAACCAATATGTGTGCTATGCAGTTACACTTGGTGCTACAGATTATCTGTGCTAACAAAATAAGTTGGAAAAGACTAATTTAATTTTGGTGACTTCCTGTTTAGTGGAAAGATGAGTGACTATAAAGATCTGGTTAAAGTAGATGGTCTTTTCTTAAGGAAAACAAAACCAAAAACCATACACCTCAATTTCTATTATGTTCATCCTACTAAATGTTCCCAATTTTTGGTAATTTTGAATTAAGAAAAATTAAAAACTCTCAGTGTGGATGTTGATACACTTCATATCTTTAAAATTGGTTGCTGTAGAATACACTTTTTGCTAAAGCCATTTCAACTTTTTACGAGCGAGAATAGGTAATGTACAGACAGCAGGTTTGCTTTCAAACTGTTGTTTGTCTGTAGTTTTACTCATAGTAGAAGGGAATTAATATCACCAGATATGAACAAAGATGACGGAATAGGTACAAGCTTAATCAGAATATAAATTGAATAATGCCAATTTTAGAAAAAACTATGTGTGTGTCAGTGAAATAGTCATAACCAATCTTAATAAAAATTAACCAGCTGTATAGTTGTGCTGTTTATCTTGGATAAGTGAATTCTGGTAAAGTTGTGGGGTTTTGTGAATGATAATTTTTCTTGTTTGTTCTTAACAGGAGCTCACCAGATGTTGTTGTTGGCAGTGTTTATAACACCTCTTAATGATATCTACTCTGACTTCTCAAAGTTTCTGGAGATGATAGAAACAACATTGGACATGGATAAGGTATGGGCTGGTGTGTGGGAGGGGGTTTACTTAGCAATTAAAGTTTCTTGCTGAACTTTGCAATCTGCTCTACACTCACTAAATTTAATTGATCATCTATATTAAGTAGTTAGTGATAGTTTAGCTGTGGAATATGTGAAGGCTGTTATTAGTATAGCATTTCGATATCAAGAGGATATTCACCCACTGTCTGAAATTATCTAGCCAATGAAAAAACGCTTTAGGTACATGGGTGCTGTGGACCTGAAACTATTTTTTAAAAACATCATCAGTATTAAAAGTGGGAAAGTTATTCTGTCACTTTTCTGCTTGTTCATGTTTTCAGTTACTGTGATATATCTCCAATCTAGAATGTAGCCAGAATATGTTTATTACATATTTCTCTGCTTCTATAAAGTTCATTAGACTTGGTTCTGTTTGGTGGGATTAAGTCTTCATAACTAACAGTTTGCCTCTGAAAAATGATTGACTTGGGTATAAAGACTGACTTTACTTTCCAGTGTAAAGTTATTTCTCACTAGAGAGAAAGCTACTACAATTGTCTTAGCCTTGCATCTACACTTGCTTATAAAATATTACTGATGATAGGACTATGCTTGCAAGAGAAAACCGGCATTCTTTTCAGAGGAAAAATTGGCCAAAGAAAGCTGGAAGGAACATTCCTGTTCCTTAAACCTGTAGTGGAAAGGAGACGGGATGAGCATAAATGACCGATTTGTCATTGTTTAACATTGAACGCTTAGGACACAGGCAAAAACATGAACCATTGCTTAACTGGGTGAAACAATGCCAAGGTTTTAAGTGAGTTTTGTACATAATTTTTTCCCATTATATTTGTTAGAGAATTGGTGAGACACATTTTGACATGTACATGCTTGGTTAGAAACATATTTAATGTTCCTTTCTCAATAAGATGTTTCAGTCATTTTGGAAAACTTGGGAAGCTTTTAGGATTGTCATAACTGTCAATCTCAGCTGACTGTAGAAATACGAGATCTACCTAACCATGTGCTAGGCATGGTAGTAAGGGCAAGGTGTTGAACTTTTGAAAACTGCGGTGGCTTTAAAATTTTGAACATGCATATTTTTCTCCAAAGGCAGAAGCACCGCGTTTTGTCTCTTTGTATTGTGTATGCATTAATCAACTGCGTTTTACAGTTTAAGGATTGACATGTTGCTGTAATTTGTGATATATGCTAATGAAGAAATTTATAGCTTTATACTAGTTACAGACCATCTGTTGATGCAGTTTGTATGCCCTGGGACTCTGTTTTCTTTAAAACTAACAGCTGTTCTAAGCCTTGGCCCTTCATAGTCCAGCTCTTCAAATTTGTTTCAGCTTCTACTTCAAAAATGTTTTGTTGTCCTTCCAAACAGAATAACAAGTCAGTTATTTTTAATCAAGTCTCATAGAATCTAGTGTGTTGGATTTGTTTTTTTTCTCCTTCAAGATACTGGAAAATGGCTATAGATAAGCCGACGCTGGTTTTACCACAAGAATAAGCCTTGTCCGTATGAATGTTAAAACTTGAACTTTGACTTGAAATTTCTCTTAGGTTTTTAGGGAGTTCAAACAAAATACCTAGCTCTATTCTGAGTGTGATTGAAGGACAGGTTGTCGTAGCAACTAAATTATGTCAATAATGTATTCTAATGTAAAGAGAAACATCCAAGTTCAAAAAGCGTGGGATGTGGTTATTCATTTACCTAGCTGTAATAAAAGTTGAGAAACTGTCACTTCCATTCCACAGAATCATAAGGGGCCTTTGAAAAACCGTCTTACTCCAACCTCCTCCTCAAGTCAGGGCAACTTCAAAGTTTGTTAGCGCTATCGGTATATAGTATTTTGGTTTGAGTATTAAGAGCACAGCCCGTTACAGAAGGACTTGTTTTTCAGATTAGCTAGTTAGCTTACCATAGTCCCAGAGTCTGCAAATTGTTTGCTGTCACCTCATTCATTTGAGCACCGCTTGGAAGTGTGACTCACTTGGGTCTCATTTCATGTAAGTAAACATATGCAGGTATGAAAGTGTTGTCAATGCTGTGATGTTAGTCTGCTGCTTACCACATTAAATTTTGTACTTTGAACATTCATTTCAGAGTAGCTCTGAGCAAAAACTTACACTAAAAAAAATGCAGTGTTTAGCAGAAAAAAAGGGAATGTCTAGCTGCTGCTTATCCATATTGCATTAAGGGATTTGCTTTTGTTATAACCCTTTGCATGACTCTTGCCAGTAAAAGGTTATATGTAGAGTGAGGTTATATATAGAGTGAAAGTAGTAGCAAGAGTGTTCAGACCAATCTGTTGCACGTGTCTGTTGCATTCCTTAATCTCTGAAGCAAATTTAACATTTGTATTTAATGCAGTACTGAGTTGTAATTTAGACTTAAGTGCATTTCAGTGATCAATATATCAGTGAAATATCACAATAATGATGAGTATTTTCATTCTTTTTGGGGGAGATGAGAGGGAAGTGAGTTGGGTTCGGTGGTATTTCCTTCAATTTTTCTGGTGAGGTGTAGCCTTAGTGGACTATAGCTGATGGTAGATTCATTAGGTACAAAGCACCAAGAACTCAAATACCACATTCCTGTTAATGCTTGTCTTGCCAGATTGTTGGCCATGTTCACACTGAGGGCTGTGGAGGAGAAAAAGCAAAAGTTTGCTTTAAGTGACTTACCTAATTATATCTGAGATACTTCTGTAGGAGGAGCACAGCTTGAGAAGAACGTTAGAGGGTAATATAGTTGTGGGTGCCTGGTGTTTTTATATATTAATTAGTAGCACAAGTTTTTAATATTTTTAGTAAACCATAATCATTTTACTTCCTTAGCAGTTTAGCTGAACTTTTAATTTAATTTAAAATTGTTCTCTATTCACTTGATCACACTTGGCTTTCACTTGGAGAGAGCGGTCAGATGGAGCAGTTTTGTTTGTCACCTGCTAAGTATTACTTCATGAGGCCTGAACGAGGAAGGAGCTGCCCTATAATAGCTGGGGTGGGTAATGCAACATATTAGAAGCTGTCTTCAAACCTGGATCTTACACATTTTTAAATTCAGATTTTCAGGCTGACGTAATGGGATATAGGCTGCTAGCTGTCCTAAAGACTTGATATCTACACCTGGAAGAGCCACCAGGCAATTAACCCTGGGGCTGGAGTGCCTAGTTTGCTGCGAATCAGTTCTTGAACTGCTACAGTCCCTAACCCGAACCATTAATGTAAATGGAAGCTGAAGCAGTTCTACTTCAATGCTTCTGTCCCAAAACCTCACAGCAGCTTAGGGTTTATTTCTTGCACACTAGCAGCCTCTGGGTTCATTTGTCACCACGGGTCTGTTGGAGCCGTAATGGAATTAGCCACAAGCACATGAAAACTAACTCTGTCCCCGTGACCGCCAGACTGAGCGGTGGGTGAGGCAGTAACCTAGCTTTTTTGCACACTATAAGATGTAGCCACATAGGGATCTTTGCTTGCAGTGAAATGAAAGCTTGCCTGTAGCGAGGAGGCCCTGAAGGATGGAAGTGCAGGGCATGGCTTCGGTTCCAGTCAGCCTCTCTGACATGGCAGCCTGGGTAAAGGACAGAACCGAGAGCCAGACTGGGTGCTCTGCTGGGGCTGCTGGCGTGTTATGGGTCCTTGGGAATGTTACCTTCCTTCTCCTGAGGTTATGGGATTTCTGCAGTTTATTCCAGGCTTCAAATAATTCTTTGAAGCTGTGAAACAAAATTACTTATCACTTGACTGTCAGTCTTGGTCGTCTCATGAAGCCAGTCCTGACAAGGGCTGGCACGCGTGGCGTTTGTATCCCAGCCTTTGCAGTTGCTGTTTCAGATCCAGGATCTGCCCTACAAAACCAGGAATGGTCTTTTCTGCCGTATGCTCTGTCATAAACGTTCATTGCTGTTCTTTTAGCGGAATTATTAAGGCAATGGGAGGAGCAGGCCTATCAATAGAGATGTAGCAGGGAATGAATTTGTTCGTACCCCTTTCTTAACATCTCCAGCTTTCAAGATGGTCCTGTCAAATCTCGTAATCCATTATTTTGTGTGGAGTCCACATCTCTAGTTAAGCAACTGGAGAACTTTGCAACTGCAATGTGTTTGCACACAACGCAACTGGAACCAAAACGGCAGGCTGAGTGTAATGCCTTGCAGTGCTGGTAATTGCGCAGAGAAAATAAGCATTAACAGTTCAGTTTTCCATGATGCAGCTTCTGTGGAAGATCAAATTATCTGTTGGGAGAAGATCATTCTCAAAATAAAGCAGCAATCCTTTGAATATACAGTATGCTATGTGGTTTCTTCATATGATAATTTACTTGTTCCCCTATTCCTGTAGCTTTCATCTCCAGATTGCATTCCCAGGTCTTTGTTCCAAGTTGCTGCAAAACCTGGGAGTCTTGAGTCTAATGCTTTTACAATTATTTTGCACTGCAGATTCTAAGTGCTCCTTGTGCTTAGTAGGACAAGATGTATGTGGTGGTTCTTGTACTTAACAGTTCCTGTTGCTCAGTGCTTTCTGAAGTGATACTTTTATTGTCTGGGAAGGAGTAAATGAACTCTGAACCTCCCTTTTTTCTTCTTCCTCCTCTTGCTAACATATACTTGTGGGTAAAAGTGAAACTGTATGTAAACCACCATCTTTTTTTGGTGTGTTTTGCAAGGTATTTGCAGCTGCTTTGTGTACAACTTTGCAGATAATTCGCAGCTAGGGGAAGCTTCATGAAAGTGTTGGTTTGGTTGGTTTTTTTTTTTTAATTTAATTAGATTAAATACATTACTAACATGAAAGGCAATGCTTAGTTTCCATGTTGGACAACAGTGCTAATATTTTGTTGATTGTAAAAGTTTGTGTATTAAAAATTGAGTTTCTTTTATTTAGCAAATAAATTTTTAGTTATAAGCTGTGCTTGCGAATTAAACTTGAGGCTTGTAAGGTCATCAGAAACACACACCTGGCAGTGGAAGCATGGGGAAGAGAGAGGAAAAAAGATGAATACAATTTACTTCATCTGTGACTTTGAAAATATTTAGCTTGGAAGGAAATGTGTATGCTTTTCAACTCAAAATAACTGTTGAAATTGGGTAGGATTTTTGGTGATATTATGTAGGCTCCTTCTGTAACCTCTTGAGTGTGTTTTAAGCAAGAATAACAGTTTCAGAAACTTTCCAAAGACTTCTTGTTTTGAAATGCCCCATCCTTCTACACTCTGTCTTGATTAGCTGCATAAGTCCAGGCTAGCATACAGATTATGTACATAACAATTGCATTTCCTCTGACTTCCCTTTTTTTCCTGCCTACTGCTCAGTTATTTGTGTGCAAATAAATGTGCAGACAACTCCATTTCAAAGTAAAGGAGTCTTTTAAATTGGTATATTTTGCTTGTATAAAGTATATTACTTGAGAAAACAAGTGTTTGAGATGTATTTGTTTTGTAGTTGAATCGGATACCAATTATCACAAAGAGCATTGCATTGCAAAATTATATATATAAAAATAAATTTAATAAATGATTAAGTAAATCCGTTTTACCATGTATGATCAGGGAGGTGATTTTTTAATTTTTTTTTTTACTGCCTATGTTCATATGAATTTTTTCTTGTTATTTTTCCCTAGGTGGAGAATCATGAATTTCTTGTCAAGGCTTCTTTTGACCCTAATTTGACAGAATTAAGAGAAAAGATGAATGAACTGGAAGAAAAAATGCAGTCCTTTTTAAAGAGTGCAGCCAAAGAACTAGGTAGGGTATGAAGCTGCCTTTGATTCTTACCTCCTTTGTAAAATGTTTTGAGATGAAGTGATGAAAACTGGTATAGAGGACTTAAGGGATGTTTGTATTATTTTATTATTAGTTTGGGGTGACTTTAGTTGTCACAGTACAATCTGTTGAAAACTGAGTGGCCTTTTTTTTTTTTGTAAGTATGCCATTCCAGATTATTTCAGAAATTATCACGTAGGTTGCAAGATACTGCAGAATTCATTTTGTAGAACTGCAGCTCATCAAACTCTTGGCAAAGCCTAGTTCTATTTTACATCCTTTGAGGACATGCACTGAAACTCCCCCCCCCTCCCCCCGCCTCGTGCATTGTCTTAAGTGTCCATTCAGGACATGCTAGTTTTCTTTTGAAGTTCTTTGCAAAATGTAATGTGTAAGCAAATGAGACATTTAAAGAATTTATTCTCTTATGCAAAAAATTCCATGTGCAGCTGATGAATCAGGCATTCAAAGAGCAACTTAAAAAAACCCAACCATTTTTTAATTAAAATATGGCAAGGAAAACCACAACATAGTTATTTTAGGTTACACCTTTAAGGGCTTGCATATTTTTTAATCTTGATTTTTTTTTTTTTAAGCGTAAACAAGATACCTGGATGAAAAGAAGGAAAGACAAGATTGTGTAGGGATGGAATGAGCAATCTCACCATCAAAAGTATGTGTTAGTAAAAGGATCATAAGGCTGCAGGTGCTGTGCTTACAGCAGCAATATAGAATGTCCTTGCAGTGTGCTATGAAAATTTTTCACATTTCTGGAGAATATGTAGCAGTACTATAATCATGAGCCTGATTCGAATATGCAGTTTGAGAGCATATCAAAGTAAGAGCAGAGAATGAATCAGTAAAATTCTGTTAGGTCTGGGTATTTCTCATACCCATACAGAACCAAAGCAAGTGTATTTAATAGTGTATGTAAGAGAGGCTACATCATACAAACTGGGGATTAATGAGCAGGAATAGCACAGGCTGCAGGATTTTTGATAATACATTTGTTTTCTTCTTTCTTTTAATCTAAAAGGTTTGGAAGCTGGCAAAAGTATCAAACTGGAGACAAATTCACAGTTTGGACATCACTTTCGAATAACTTGCAAGGAGGAAAAAGTTCTCCGTAACAATTCAAAATATGGAATAGTTGATACACAGAAGAATGGTGTGAAATTTACTAACAGGTATAAGATCATCTTTGTAGTTTTTCAAGCCTGTTGTGAAAGAGACAAAAATGTTCCTTTCTTTATAATTGTGTTGATAAACTGGTTTCCCTACAACTTGAATGGCTGAATTTTCACCTTTTTAATTGGCTCACAGATTGAGATACTGAGCAAGACTGGCATGAGGGAGGAGTAGTCATACGGTTTCTGTTAAAGGCTGTGTTCCCCCTTTTGCTTTGCCAACTGTTAGCTGTTTTGGGTCCTTTGACTTGGGCTAATTTCTCTGTTTTAGCTGCAGCTAGCAGCATAATTGCATTTACTGTGAGTGTTTATACAGACACTTTCATAAGCTGCAATGGGAAAAGAGCTATTTATGTTTATTACCAAATATGACATGCAGCAGTTTTGTTGGTGATTACCTTCTTTTTGTTCCAAATCACACTGTAATTTCTGTTGGTCCTAGTATTGGACTTCCATTCTGTGGCTCTGTAGATGAAGCTATTTAAAAATTTCAGTCTTCAGGCTAATTGCATTGGTGCTGTTTCAGTGTCTCCTTGTCTGGACAGCAGTTCTGTCACAGGTCAGCCAAGCAAAAAGTCTATACTTCTTGTTGAATTTTTAGCTCTTCTGGATCATTTTAGAAGGAGCAAGGCTACCACGATCATCAGATGTCTCTCTCTGTACTTCATTATTATTACACAGAACAAAGTAGAAAGTTGCAGGTAATAACTTAAGTTGAAGGTGATCTCTTGAGGGTAACTGGTCTAACCCCTCACTGAAAGCAGACCCACCTTAGAAATTAGATCTTATCTCAAAGTTAGGTGAGGTAGCTCAAGGCCTTGCCCAGGTGCCATCTTCCAAGCATCCTTCACAACCTGGTGGGGCACAAGTTCCAGTGCTGAACCACTCTTTGTGACAGCTTTCCTAATCAGATCTAATGAGAATTTTCCTTGCAGAAGCTTGGGGTTTTAGTGTCTCATTCTTTTGCTGTGCACCTCCAAGAAGAGTCTGGTGCCTCTTTCCAGGCTGACTTCAGATTTCTCTCAGCCTGGGCAGGCATCTCTCTCGGCCTGTCCTTGTATGCCGTGTGCTCCAGCTGCCAATCTTTGTGGTGGCCATCTGCTCCAGGTTTGATACATCTCTTAGACTGGGAAGACAAAACTGCGAGCCAGCACTGCGGATGTGGTCTCACAAGCACTGAATAGAGGGGAAGAATTACTTCTTTCGACACGCTGGCTATTCTCTTGCTAGTGCAGCCAGTATGGGCTTGGCCTTCTCTGCCTTAGTGTCACACTGCTGGGTCGTGTTCAGCTTCTTGTCCACTGGGTCCCCTAACTCTTTTATGAATAGCTGTTTTACAGCCATTTGGACCCCAGTCTGTACTGTTGCATGGAGTTATTTCATCCCAGGTGCAAGACATTGCATTTGCCTGTGTTAAAATACTTGTCCACCTATTTCTCTAGTCTGCAGATATCCCAATGAATGGCAGCCCCGTGCTCCAGCATACTGACAGCTCCCCTTAACGTGGTGGTATTCACAGCCTTGCTGGGATTGCATTTGAGAGTGCATTCAGTCCCATCATTCAGGTTGTTAATCAAGGCATAAATAGTATCAGCCCCAGTATCAACCCTAAGAAATGCTGTTACTAATCAGCCACTAATTGGACTTCAACCTCCTGACAAGTTCTTCCTTGTCTGTCAGTGGCAGGTCCAGGAGAAAACCACTCTTTAAGTCTCCTTCATGTGTTATATATGGAAGGGTAAAAATAGCAGATTAATACATCGTACAGTCTGTTTCAGACAAACCATGCTGCTATCACTTTATGTGTAACAGTTCCTGCTGGAGTTAGCATCAGAGAAATGAGTTTATTGAGAGATAGATCTTGATTGATAGACATGTATGAGGAGCACCTGCCTACAGGGCAAGGTTGGTTTCAAGGCAGTGCTATTACTAATAGTGACTGTTTCTGTTAATCACTCACTTTCATAGTAATAAATCCTTTGCTTTGAAAAGGAGGGCAAACATACTGGTTCACGCCAACCAATATGTTGGTGTATTTCGCACCAGTTTACTTAAATGAACAAAGTGTAAACCTTAATTGCATTTTGTTTTAACATTTACTCAGAGGATATTTTTTCAAAACATCCCTGAAATTTAAAACAGCTTTTTTTGGTTCTAAATATGTTATGAATCTAAATGTAGTGATGAAGTTAGGCTTTTCTGTAACTGAGAAGATGGTACTTAGAACTTCTACTGTGTCATCTGTTAATTTCCCATGAGGAAGAAGCCCATGGGTCACTAATAAAACAGACTTCTCTGTGCCTACTTAAGTTATAGTTGCTTCTGTAGATGGTACTAGAAGCACAAGGCTAACTTTTGCTTATAGTGTGGGTGCACTACTTGGGTGTGTTTTATATTCAGTCTTGCAGACTCTCCTCCATGTTCGGAGACAAGCCTGAGAAGAATAAACACTTGTTTAAATGCTCTATTGATTTCAGCTTACCTTATTTTGAAAACTAGAACCTATTCTTAGTGACAGTAGTTCACTGAGGTTTTTAATAAATGAAAGAAGTTAATGCCTTCAGCTCTGATAAACCTGTTGTAGGACTCTGGGTTAATTACACAGTTGCTTAGCAGCAATTCTCCTCTGTCAGTTCTGTAACGTGCCACATCTCATTGCAAAATGGCCAGAAATTCAGCTTTAAGAGCAAGTCCTTGTCACATAGCATGTCTGTAACAAACAACTACTGTAAAGATTTTTAAGAATGATGTGTTCAGAGATGCTAGAATTGCTGGTTTGGCCCTTGTGGGTGATCTTCAACTTGGGATTAATCTTACTGATATCCTGGTGTGGATAAATTGTGGGTCGCTTTGTGGCCCTTGTGCTGAACCTTGCTGTTAAAACAGGTGGGGACAACTGCCATTGACTCCTAGAAGAGGAGGCCAAAAGTTTGGCATTGTAGCAGTGAAGACAGAACATCACAGCTTCTAAATATTGTGGTTTTGTTCACAGCAAACTGAGCTCCGTCAATGACGAATATATAAAGAACAGAGAAGAGTATGAAGAGGCTCAGGATGCAATTGTCAAGGAAATCATTAACATTGCTTCAGGTGAATATGTCAATGTTCAGATTGTGACACAATCAACAGATGTGTATCACAGTCTGGAATGGTGGGAGTACTTGCAGTTACTTTATAGGTCCTTTTGTAGGGAAGAACCATAACATTCCCAAAAGAATTAATGTGAAAAATGAGGTTTGACTTTTAGACAGTTCTTGAAAGTTTGAAATATATTGTCTTCTATGGTCAGACCCTTTCCTGGCATTGCTACAAATGTGCAGTCATGGGGTGTGCGCAAATTTTAATCCCATAAAATGAACACAAATATGCTCGTAAAGGCCACATCTGTCCTCCACCCACCTACCTGACTCTGGACATCTCCACCCAAATGGTGAATTAAGTAGAAGGCAGAAGAGGTAAAGAACAATAGAGAACTGAGGGAGTGGGACCTGAGGTCTGTGAAGGATGATGAAGAAAGAACATTGGTATGCAGTATAAAATCAAGTTAGCCATTGCTTATATGGTACAATAAAAAATTATTGTTTTCCTAATTAATTTCCATATATTTTGCTCCAAGATTGCCTACTTACAGGGCATTCTTTACTATCCTTCACCAAAAGAAGAAGAGACATCTGGGAATTTGGGCTTGGAGGATTCTGTAAATATTGCCTCTCCCAAAGGCACTAGTTCCAGCAGAACAAGTCTTAGTTCTTTGAAAGAGAGAAGTGGAAAGTGAAAACACTAATGAATATTAAGCTAAGGGTAAATGTATTAAAGATGAAAAAAACCACTTTTTAAGCTGATGTATTAATATATTTGAGTGTGTATTAAGTTACAGTGGAAATATTCATAAGCTTTGACCTGTTGTCATAAGGAATTTGCCAGTATATTGCAAAATCAGTAGCTTGTTAGATTTTTTTTTTAATCTTGGTAATTTTCAAGTGATTTTTTTTTTTGTGTAGCATACTAAGGTTTGTATATTTATGTAGAAAGCTAGTGGGGTATTATATAACAGGATTAGCTTCAATATGTAATTTATAAATACCTAGTAAGTTTAATAACGTCTGTTGCTGCTGCTTAAAGCTTCTGTGGTGTGCAGTCATAGACTTACAAGTGTATATGTGTATTCAAAAAGCATTTTTATTCCCCAAGTGGAGGCAATTTAATGAAAAAGACTCGATTATGTATGTAATTCTTGAATGAAAGTGACTTAAAGTCCTCTTAATGATCTATACGTAGCTAGTTCAAGAGATGATGTTAGAATGGTAAATGTACTTTGTACAGGTAGGACTTTTTCTGCAGGTCACTGCTCACCTCTTCTGACACATGCATCCCATTTGCAGGTGTTGGATGATTTACCTCTGTAGACTCCTGTCTCTCATCCCTTTCACTGAAAAAAAAGGAATACCAAAGCTTAAAAACTGGTACTGGGGATGCTGGGCCCTCTAGTCTTGTTGTCTGGTATCACAGGCACTGTATCTTACAGACCTCTCCATACCATCATTCACATAAACAGAAATGGTTGCTGTCTCTGAATTGTCAGTGCTGTGTCTATATTGTCTTTGCTTGCGTGAGCATCAAAGTGCAGCATATTACAGAGGAAGGAAACTTACTGGATTTCCAGCCATCTTGTCATTGTGAGCATTGGCCTTCCTGTACCAAGATAAGCTGTTTCTCATTGTCTAGTGTTAAGGCAAAACAATCAATATGGCCTCACTTCTTCCTTTTCTTGGTCTGAAGAAGTTCCCTTTGTAGTCAGAGCATGGATACTTAAGGATTACATCTTAGACTCTCACAGAAGGTGATGGCTATCTTGAACAAAATTGACTTTTAATGCAGGTGAATTAATTTTATGGGCTCAATATAGGCTTTAAGATATCTTTTCAGCAAGAACAAAAAAATTTCTAACTGTGTTGAATTTACGTATCTCTAACCAAAAACAGGTTATGCAGAACCAATACAGACGATGAATGATGTGATAGCTCAATTAGATGCAATTGTCAGTTTCGCTCATGTGTCAAACGGAGCACCAGTGCCGTATGTCCGTCCTGTCATTCTGGAAAAGGGACAAGGAAGGATTGTGCTGAAAGGTGCCAGGCATCCTTGCATTGAAGTGCAAGATGAGGTGGCCTTCATCCCCAATGACGTTACATTTGAGAAGGGCAAGCAGATGTTCCACATTATTACTGGTAAATGTTTCTGTTCTCTTTTTCATTTGTTATTTACGTTTAAAATGTCTCAAGTATTTCCAATAATGATGTCTTTAAAAAACCAAACAACCAACCCAATAAAACTCTGTCAAAACAATTTCTCTGATCAACAAAGGGTGAGCGCCTAGCAAGTTATTCGTCTTTCTGTATGGGGGATAAGATTTAGCTCTGGAAAAGAAGGGAGGGTATTTGTAAGGTGGTGGTGTTTATTATATTAAAAAAAGAAAGCGTCCACAATGTTCTTGTGAAGTGTTTCCTTTGATAGTGGATATTCTCTATGTTTATGCACATACAGATGCATTTCTCATCTTCCAAACTAATAGTCATGGAATTAGTTGTTATGATTGTAGTTATAGTGCACTGTTTGGAGAAGGTGATCACTAATTTAGATATAGTTATTTGGGAAGAAGAGAGAGGCTGCTAGGACAGTAGGAAATAAGAAATTAGTCCTTCCTTAATGTATGTATTCTTTGCCTTAGTGACTGTTAAGTCCATAAGCCAGGCAACCTCAGGAACTGGAGAACCTGAACCTGCTGAAGTGATTTTTGAAAATTCCACTAGGCATCAATTGTATTGTAGCCACATAGGCACCTTCTGTAGGCAAGACTTTAAGCAGCCTCTTTGTTAATGTTTTCTTTGCTTAGTATTAAGGTCAATTTTAAATGCAAAACATGTTTCAATGACTGTACCCTTTTTTCCCCTATTCTCTGGTGTAATTAAGATAATTTTACTACACAGGAAAACATTTTAGTGTTTATAGATTTAATTGAATTTTAATTTCCATCCAGATGTCCTTGACATACATTCTGAGTAGCAAAGATCTGAAATTGGAGAATGATTAATGAACACTTCTAACATAATCAAAAAGGAAAAACTAAAAATCTGAATAAATGCATGGTAACACCCTTGTTTTTCTGGTTAGCAAAAGCATAAAATTGGTTTTAATGATCAGTTTTCTGGAAAATAATTTTAATTTCATTTGTACTTCGATTAAAAGTAAGTTATTCATTTTGCTGATGCAGACTCCCCTTAGATTGTAATTTTTAAATCACCCATCAGCTTGTACCCGGTCTGTAACTAAGGTATTTCATTTTTACAGACAAATCGTAATTGTTATTTGAGGTGAAAGCAAATTATTTTCATTCTTAAGCAGCAGTACTGATGACTTCTAAATTAAAGCTTATTAGTTTTAGGTATGGACATGAGTTTTAGATGACTGCTTATACTTCCGAAAAGTCCCAAAACTTATTAAGGCCCCTAATGCTCTCCAACTGCCTTTTTTTTTTTTTTTTTTTTTTTGAAAAAGCAGCATTCAATAAGACATACAAGCAAGCTTTATTAGTAGTGGAGCTACTTGTTGCACCTGTTAGGCAAGTCTGCTACTCTTTCCTGGCAAGAGAGTAGTAAGTTTAAACGTTCTTTGTTTTAAATTACAGCCTGTTCTCCTTTAAAAGGGCTGTTGAATTGTAAATGATAATGGTTTTTTAATTCATTTGCAAAATTTCTTCTTTAGGCCCTAACATGGGGGGGAAATCAACCTACATTCGACAGACAGGGGTGATTATTCTTATGGCCCAAATTGGGTGTTTTGTACCATGCGACTCTGCAGAAATAACCATTGTGGATTGTATCCTGGCTCGGGTGGGAGCTGGAGACAGTCAGCTGAAAGGCGTGTCTACTTTCATGGCTGAAATGTTAGAAACTGCTTCAATCCTTAGGTAAGTCCTGGGCTTATTTGATTTTGTTGGTTGGGGTTGATGAGAAAGGAGGTGCTCTAAGAAAGATGCATTTAAGATTTCCTTTTATGTAGGACCTCAGTGGAGGATCTCCAAGTCCTTTTTAGCAGGCTCATAAGTTCCTGAAGTAGCCTTCTGTTTATTTCGATGGTCATACAGAGCTGCTACCAGGAGGCCAAAGTCTAAACGGGGTGAAGAAACTAATTTGGAATGATCTGTGTGACACTGTGTGTGCACTTAATTTGTATATTGTTATGTAAATAGGAAGTGTCTTTTGCCTCTTTAATGCTATGCCTCTATAACATAACTTGTGGTACTCAGATATCCAGAGTTCATGCTGTTCTCAAATGTTATAAAATGCTCCTGTGTTTTTAGGACAGCATCTGAAAACTCACTGATAATCATCGATGAGCTGGGAAGAGGAACTTCTACCTATGATGGTTTTGGCTTAGCATGGGCTATTTCAGAATACATTGCTAGCAAAATCTGTGCTTTCTGTATGTTTGCTACACATTTTCATGAACTGACAGCTCTTGCCGACCAAGTGCCAACAGTAAATAACCTACATGTTACTGCTCTGACCAGTGATGACACACTGACGATGCTTTATCGTGTCAAGGAAGGTAAGACTGTGTAAATGGTGAACAGGGTAAGCTTTATTTCATCCTGATAGAGGAAGAACTCTTGGGGGGAGGGGGGGGCGCGGGGAGGTGGAATTTCGTGTCATACTCCAGCCTTAGGTTTATAATAGACATGCTCTTCTCTGTCCAGAGAGAGTGAGTGTATGGCAGGAGCTCTGTCCATGTGTGAACACAGTTGGTGATGTTGTTCATGGTTATTTGTTAAGACTTCTAGGTTATTTCTGCCACTCAGGTCAATGCTTTTGAGGTTGGTTCCTTTTTTGTTTTTTTTAAAGAGCAGAGAGAAGGGTTCCAGAAGGTTATTTTCTGTTTTCCTAAATCAGCCATTTTAACCTGCTGATAGAAAAGACTTATGTTCCTCAAACTGTTCTTTTAAAAGAAATGAACGCAACTTTTCTGTGCTGACAGTTTTTAATAATATCTATTTCATTGTAATAAGCCTTGGTCATTGAAGAAAGATGTTGCCCAATTTATGCAGTAGTTTGATATAGGAAAAATAATATGTTTAGTTTTTAGCAAATGGTGTCATAGTAAAACAACAAGTAGCCTGTGTTGTTAGTATAAGTCAAGTCAGATGTGTTTAATTAAAATCCTTTAGTGGATCCAGTTACTCCTTTTGGTATTAAATTAGACAATTTTTAATTGGGCATAAATTTCATCTGTTAACCACAATAAGTGCTTCCTCCTGCTTCTCTATATTGCCAATCATTTGTTATTGCTCCCTTCAGCAGGAGCCTATATTTATGCTGAATAAAGCAGGGCTGTGTAACTGTGGCTTGCAAGGTGTGGTCATTTATGGCATTCTAATTTAGTTGTAAACTCTACAGTGATTTTGTTGTTCCCATAAGAGCATTTCAGTCAGGTTGCCAACCTCTGGACTGAGATTTTGATTTAAAATGTGGGCAGAGTACTGTTACGCTCTGTTTTCACTTAAAAATACCTCTTAATTTTCCCTGAGTTCCACAATGAAGGAGAGTTAGATGACACTCAGATGGATAGAACGTGGTTACTATAGAACAGTGTGGCTGTACTGGATCCAATCAACAACTTACATTGTGGAGTGGTTTTGTCTCAAATAAGGAATAACTATTTGGGGAGTTAGGCTATTATCTTTACTAAAACAATTACTGAGCATCATCCATACTTGTTAAGGCTAAAGAGCTAGTCCTTGTCTCCTATCTCAAGTCCTGGAGATAGATGTTTACTTATCTTCTTAGTTTAGGATTAAATCTTACAGGTACAGTTGCTGAACTTCATTCCTCATTTTAAAAGCTGTTTTGTCGTGTCGACACAATACCAAATAACTTGCCTCTGCTTGCCTGGTTCATCCTAATAACACTGCTTTTCATGATCAGTGCATATTCAGTACGTGTTATCCTGGAACTCTCTCCAGTATTTCCTGATATCTTTAGCCAGTTTTGGACTTCTCAGCTCATTCCTTCTTGCGTATATTGTTCTGAAATGAATCTAATATTTTGTCTAATTATTAAATTTTACTGTTACGCTTTTAAAGATAATTTTTATAATCTTCACAGGCTATCACCGTACTATTAAGTATCTTTTAGATAATTGGTAAATGTGTTTTTATTATATCCTGATCTGAGCCTCACTCAAGTGGTACCATGCTTGTTTTACTCCTATGACATTACTAATTGACTATTACTCATTTCTTCTGGTTTTAAATCCATGAAATTACGTCGTTTCTTACTTTTCGATTACTTGTATAACGACTTCTAATCTTGTATTCCCATATTCCCTTATGGCTATAGTCTTGTGATTAGGTTTCGGGTACTTTTCTGCGAAGCTAGGAGACTGCTCTGAACAAGGGGAATCAAAGCATGACCAGAAATACTTCTCTCCTCTGGCTTTACTGAGAGTCTACTTAAAGCTGGTTAGAATATCTCCAGCTGCCGCAGTCTTGTTTCTTTTAACTCTGTGTTCTTGTCTTTTGAGATCTTTATTCCTTAGAAATGGTGTCTGTCCTTCTCTCTGTTCATGCACTTTCCCTAGGCAATGCCCAGGCTTTGCTTCTGAGTATTAGTCCAAAGTGCTGTGGCCCTGGTACCCAGCCTGTTCCAGTGGAGAGGCAGTGTCTATGGTTCTTTTGTAGTTTGCTGTTTCCCATCTTTGTCAGCACATGTTGAGCTCCTTCCACCAAGTGAAGGTTCAGAGCCCTCTGAATGCCTTGCTCTAATCAATGCTTAAAATATGACTTAGTGTGGCATGGGAACTGAAGACAAGTATAGTCATAAATTGCTGCGAGCATACATTGAAACTATGAGTGTTTTCAGTGCAGCGAGAGCTGGCAGTGTACAGTATCTTCAAACAATCCATCTTTATTTAGGTGCCTTATTTTGAGTACTTAGGTTGGGGAGGGAAGTAATATACACTAAATCTAAACCTTCTACCTTCTAAATCCTTTGGAATAGCAACGCTTATGATAAAAAACCCTAATATTCCCCCAAAGGTTGTGTTAATTCTCTTCCTTCAACCCCCCTTGTTTTTTTTAACTTGTACTAACTCACCCATTCTGGTCCTGGTGAAAACTCTAGAAGCCAGGCTTCATATTTTTCTTCAGTTGGTTTTGCCATTTTTAGTCATACACATATTTTCTTTGTACATGCAGTGTCTTTTCATTCGATCCATTTTCTTGGAAGTGCTATTGAGCATAGAGGCACAATAGTTTGTATCTATCTACTTAAACCTCTGTCAGATGAGTTAAAACATTATGAAATCTTCACCTTAAAATACCTGGTCTCAAATTGGATGTCTTTCACAGAAGTTTTTGCATTTAATGTTGTGCTCTTTCCCTTTTGGAAGAGTGATGTTGTTCAGGCAAGGACGTGAGTATAGGCAGCTCGGATACAGCTGTGTTTTGAAACAAATATCAGGTTTCATGTCATTTGAAATGTATAACTAAATCTGAAGTACATGACAAGGAACTTTTATACAGTATTTTCATCCCTGTCTTCATGCTTCAAGAGTGTGACAGAAACACTGGAAGAGGAGACACAGAAAGTACTGCTCTCCAGGCCTCTGCTCAGGATTCTTGGAGCAGACACCTGAGTTAGCTTTGTGTCTGGGGAGGTGTGTGCTTTTAAGAGAAAATCAAGATAACTAATTTCTGCTTTAAAATGTTGATTTCCTTTAAGAAACCTGAGAGATTACAAGGTTAATAAAAAAGAAAAAAATGCCAAGTTTTCCTTTACCTATTCTTCAGATACCCAGTTTTTAATAGATGATCAGTTAAGTATCATTTTACATGTGTACTTCATTTATTCATAAGTCCCTGCTGGAGACCAGAATTAATATTTGTGGGTGGCCAATTGGAATTATGGTAATGTAAATGAATGGAGTTGACAGATTGTATCAGAGGACTTTTAATACTGAAGCGAAAATTATTTTACGTAACTGTGTATAATTGACATATTTTAAGCAATTATGAAAACTTTTCTTTCTCAACTAAATGATATATACAGTGTATTAATTGAAGTAAGTGTAAAGTTAAAGTATGTAATTAAAGACAACTCCAGGAGACTGAGGAGTTAAGTGGTATTGATGCAAAGGAGGAGGAGGATGATTGAGAATGCAACTTTTAAAATATTTTTTAATATATATACACACACACATATATATGTATTCATACAAATATAGAAAAATGTGAGATATATATTAAAAGAATAAATTATGCTAATTACTATATTCTACAGACTGTGTTGAAGTACTTTAATAAAAACCATTATTCAATTTCATATGGCAAGTACTAGTGGGAAATTCTTTCTGCCTGAAGAGTTTTCCCTTTCTTCCTGAAGCACTTTTGGAGCTCTGCAACTACTGTTCTAAGAGAGCTTAATTAAATAGGAGCATATTCTTTAGTCTGTGTTGTCGTGTATAGTCCAAAAGGTAAATTGGAAAATGTTGGGAGAACCAAACAATGTCACACACTTAATTCTTCAGAACAGAGAACTATTACAAGTTTGTTTATATAATCTCTGTGTAGCCATATTATCTCTTGAGAATTCTTTACTGTATTTTTTCTCTGTATCCAGGTGTTTGTGACCAGAGTTTTGGAATACATGTAGCAGAGTTGGCAGCTTTCCCAAAACATGTGATAGAAAGTGCAAGAGAGAAAGCATTGGAATTGGAGGAATTTCAAAACATTGGCAAGTCCAAGGAATCTGAAGGAGAACCACCAGCCAAGAAATTCTACAGAGAAAGAGAGGTTTGCTATCAGGAATGCTTTTTAAAATTTGTTTAGCTGGAATAGCCCAAGCAAAATAGTTTAAGGATTCAGATTTCCCCAAAGCTTGAGGATAATTAACTATAATCTCATTTTTCCGTAACAAAATGTTTTAGCTATGAAGTTTATTAGGAATTGAAGAGATGTTCAAGGGTAGTGGGTTTTGGTTTAGATTCATTTCAAGTTAACATAGGCAAGAATTTTATCTAAAAACGTCATCACGAGAATGCAACTAATTTTTTTCTTAATAATGATCAGTAGTTAGTATGATTGGCATACATTATTCAACTGGAGTCATACCGGGGACCATGCTTCTAGCTGTTGTGTGGGGTTTTCTTTATGCTGTGAACCAAGCCAGAATTTTCTGTTGATCACTTTTGTTGGCTACTTAGTTTGTATGCAATGTTTCTTGGGACTTAGGTTATAGCTTTTGTTTCAGTTGTTGTTTAGATTATTCTTGGCTCTGCAGGTAGGTTGCACCTGGTCTTGCTCCCCCTTATTTGAGGGCTCATTAGTGCCGATTTCTTGAAGCTCAACATGAACATGTTCAGATCTGTTCATGTCAGAAAAAAGCCGAGTACAAAACTTTCTCCTTTGTGCACTTCCATGTCTCATCAGTACTAACACATCTCACAAGCTGATCATATTGAAGGACACAGCAATTTGGACCTCGAATGTCTGACTTATAGATGTCCTAAAGTTCTCCCTGTTTCACATGTGAGAATTTTAGCTTCATTCTTTCTACTCAACCAAGAAGTAAAATGCTCTTGGCTTTGCACAGGCTTCAAGCACAACTCGAGGAAACCCACATCTCAGCTTAGGTCTGATCATGTCTACACTGCATAATACAGTTGTGTAAAGCCATTTGAGTGAGCTGGTTTTTTCTCTTCTCCCTTCACTTTCTCTTAAAAGAAGCTTCATTAGCAGGTAGTGTAAAGGAAAACAGTAGCTCGCCGGAAGCTTTTTCAGAATGGCCCGTGTCATTTTGTTGCTGGATTAAAAGACCTTACAGTAACATCTGCTGCAGCCTCCAAGTAAATCCATGTGCTGCCTTATGACTTACATTGTTTTTTGCCACTAGTCAGGTCCTCCTTGCTGCATGCATATACAGATGTTAGTTCTGTGTCCTGGCAGTTGCCCTGAAACTTTGCAGCTTTCTAACTCATTCTAACTTCTATGCATCAGTGGCAATCTTGGTAATACTCCAGTATACAGAAGCCTTGAAGTGTTAGTCCATATCCAAAGCACTTTTGACATTTAAAAAGCCTTTGCTCTAGACAGAAGCTGTTACCTCTTACTTTATTTTCAGTTTCAGAGGTCTTCTGCATTTGTTCCTGGCTCAGTAAGTGGGTCTGATGTTGTGGATGAACAATCTCCGGTTTGTCCTACCTTTTAGTGCCAGGAGGTTCCCCCTCCAACTACCTCAGTTACTCCGCTATTACCTTTCCTTTGCCAAATTGCTAGGTATCATGGTGAAGTATTTTTCAGATTAGTTGGATCTGACTGTGTGGTCTTAAGTTGGTGTAAATTAAATTGATGTGGCAAACACTTCTGACAAATACAGCATCATGTTTTGTCCTGGATATTTCAGTAACATATAATATTTCATAAACTCTTTAGGCAATATTATGGCATAGCTTTAGATGTCTCACCCAGGCAGGGAAAAGCATGCTCCAAGTCCTTTGGAGACTTCTGCACTGAAAACATACTGCATTAGTCTTAAAACAAAACAAAGAAAACTGTAGTAGAGTTCTAAAATGCAAAATGGAGAGGACTAGACAAAATTCTGTATTCTGGGCAAGTTGTTTCTAATACAGGGATCCTGAATACTGTTGATTGAAATGTTTGTTCTTGCTATTCAATTCAGACTGTTTAGAAGTTCCACTTTGCCTGTTTGTGTAAAAGCATATGCATAAAGCTTAATTATCATCTGTTCTCCTTGGTGACGGCCACTCTCCAGTTGCTTGGTTACAATTCGTTCTTTCCTTTAGCATATTGAAACATTGGTTTTGATTTACAGTTCCTCCAAAAAGTAACTAGTTTGGGTAGTATGGCCACTCTGATGCTATTATTGCTAGCAATCCTCACCTAACGTGATTGCACACTGAAATTAAATGTGGAACACATACGGGAGCTCTTAATGTCAAATATTGTATTTCTGCTGATCAACTGATGCTTTTTGCTCATGGGTTGAAAGGAGAAAGAACGTCTGATACCAGTATAACTGGATTGTTCTGGTGTTGAGAACATGATAGCAAGTGCAAAAATAACCATGTTTTTCCCCTGCAAAAAGTTTCTGGTGATGAATAATACTTTGTATCTTTGGGGAATTTGGAAAAATCCTGCTTGCAATCTAAACATCCTTTGTTTTCTTTTCCTTCTCCCTCAATTTCAGGAAGGTGAAAAGATAATTCAGGATTTTCTTTGTAAAGTGAAAGCATTGCCCCTGACAGATATGTCAGAAGACGATATCAAAATCAAGCTGAAACAGCTGAGAAATGATGTGTTGGCGAAGAACAACAGTTTTGTGAATGAAATCATTTCCCGAACGAAAGTTACATCATGAAAGATGTGAGAACAGGATACAGCTCTTGAAGCGTGTTCTACATTGCAAGAGCTATCATTTTCTTGTCTTGTAGTTTTTATGCTTTATGATAGTTGTACTGATTTATGTAGGCATTTTTTTCTCGGATTGTAATTATTTTGTAGGGAATTCTGAGCACATTCTGTGCCAGATTCCTGCTTTAGTTGTGATCATTGTGTCCTTTTAGAAGTTTTCAATAAAAGGCTTTTTCAGTATTGAGAGAATTATTGACTGTACAAACAAAATGCGTAATACTTTATGGGAAAAGCGTGCTAGAAAGTATAACAATTGAGATGGCATACAACTACCACAGCCTTGAAAAGCAACAGTGCATACACAAAATCTTTGTCCTATACCATGATTCTTTTTTGTATGATTCAATTACATTAATTCAGCAAAGTTTTAGTAACACTATACTAGCGCTCTGTTAGAAAAAAGCATCTAATCCAAGTGATTTGTCGTAAGATTTTTGCACGTACCTGCATGGAGCTTGGGGTGAGGGGATTGTTTTGTTTGCTGTGTGGATGTTAATGCTCCAGTCAAATATATTACAGGCCTGCTCTTCATGCCTGAGTGGTGATAACTCTTGCATGTTTTGGTGGTTTTGCAATGTAAGCAGAGGCTGGGGTGAAGTTACAGTTGAACTGGAACTTCTGAGTTGGTCATGATTTGTGAGGTCTCTCTACAGAGAAAGAATGCATTGATTTTTATCTAATGTACTTCTCGCACTGAGAGTTTGAAAGCATCCAGATACAAGTTTATATTCTCCTTGAAATTTAGCATTTTAAATTGTAGCTCAAGAACACTTTACCTATTTTTAAAACTGTCAGTGTTGAAAGATTAATGGGAAAAGGTGTTTATCGCGTGAGATTATAGGAATAAAATCATGCCGAAGATGCCGTGCAAACTCTTGCTGTGTTCAGAGATTGCATCAGTGGGTGTGTGCTGGGGACAGCAGTGCTGCTGTTAGAGCCATGCTATAGCTCTACGTCAGGGATTAATGTGTTGCAGTGGTCTGTGTTTAAATGTTCCAACAATAGTCATAGAAGAGGTGTGCTGTTCAACTTGCTGTTGGATAACATTTGTTTGTAGCTAGGCTAGAACTTGGACATACTTAGATATACTTCTCAACAGAAGAAATTAAAGGCTTGTTTGAGAGGCTTGGGTTCTGCCTAACACCTTTTTGGTCTTTAAGTTAGAATGCATTCTACTTACAAAGACAAAGATAGGCTTGCATTTACAAACAGCACAGTTGATACATGTATTCAGTAGCTGTGACTGGAGAAGTGTGTGAATGGAAAAATCTGTTACATAAAGTAATGAAAAATATAGCTGTTTTTGCAAATAAAATTGGTTCAAGCACAAGCTGTGCAAAAATACAGGGTTATACATAAAATAGAAAATGAGAATCAATTTAGAGGATGAAATGCTGCCATGACACACAATTTGTATTGGATCAAACTGCTTTAACTGTTGCTAGAAAGAGGCAGTTCTTGGAAGGGACTGGAAGGACTGGTACTTACAGCCTCTTCCTACATATACTGTGGTATCTGTGGTCTGATCAAAGATGCCCCTTGCTCGGTCTCCTGTCCCTAACCGTGGGAACGGGCATAAAACCATCGGTGGTTTTCTTTTCCAGGATTTTCTCCGTTTTCCCCTTGACCCTGTGTGAACTTTCAGTGTCTACAGCACTCTTAGCCAAGGAGTCCCTCGCTGAGCTGCTACCTGCACGAGGGACCGCTTCTTAGCTTTGAACCCAATTCCTAGTTCCATTCAGTGCCTCTTGTTTTTATTCACACTTTTTCCATTCTGGATGTGGTGCATCAGCACAGCATGTCTGCAGTACGCTGAGGAAAGGCTGCTTTCATTTTTGTGTTGCAGATGGGGGCTGATAGAGCTGATCCTGTGTAACCAGAGTTACCCATCTCTGAGGGTAAAAGCAATACTTGTGTGCATTATTCCGGAGGGATGGCGTACTCTGACGACCAGCTCCGGGCAGCACCTCCTCCGCTTCAGAAAGCGAAGTTATGCATCTGCAATGAAAAAGGTGCAGTTTTTCTTATGCCCTTCAACACTCACAAGGAAGAAAGGTGCAAGTTAATGGGATTTTAAGACTCATCTTTTCAACTGTTTTCTCTTCCACACTATACTTCCCCTGCCCCGAGTGTACTGCTGCTACTGGATATAGGCAAGAGAGGATCAGGCAGAGTTTAGTCTCCATATGTCAGTGCTGCTTCCAAACTGGGTTACAGGTAGTGTGATTTCATGTGAGCAGGAGGATGGCTATTTTCGTTAGTTCCAATTTAGCTTTTTGTTCAGAAACATACCTATGAGACAGGAGCAATTCTAGAACTTGTCTGGTTATTACAGAGCTGTGCCAAGGATGCAAAGGTTATCAAAGCTTCAGAACAAAATAATGTAGCTACTGAGGAGCGGTGAGGCCACTTACTGTCAGCCTTGAATAAAGATGCAAGTTTCTCTTTGCTCATTCACTGGAGAAAGCGTGGCACTGAATGCTTACCGCAGGTGTGGTCTTTTTAGTCTGTGCTGCATACATTCATCTGGAAGGCTCTTTATGAAGAAAACTGCTTTAGGTGGGGTAAAAGAAAAGAGCAAACATGCTCAAACACTGAAGGAAGTGTTTTCCTTTGATCACTTTACTGCCCAACTCTTAGTGATCAGGATTTCAACCTGTTTGTGTGCAGGAGCACCTGGTAGCCAGCCTGATGAGAGAAGATGATGGGTTTACCTCATGGGCTGTGGTCAAAACCAGGTGAGGTGCTTGGGGGTCAGCAGGCTCCAGTAAGTGACTGGGAGTGCTCGTGGACTTAATTTTTCCAGATTTAGGGAAGCCTGTGCGAGAGCTCATTGCTCTGCTGGAGATGCTGCCTTTGCAGCTCAGCTGAGGTCTGGGATTGTGTGAGTAGTTTGATCTGATTTGGTGCAAGATTAGGATGATGGTTTAAACTGATTTTCTTGGCATTTAATGAGTCTTCAAATATATAGGTTTGAGAGATTTGAGAGAGGTACATAGGTTGAGAGATTTCTGGGGCTACAAAACAGTGTGACAATTGGCCTTATTATTCTGCAGTGTGACAGATTTATTTGAAAAAAACAAGGGAGAGCAGTTGCTGCTCTGTATCCAAAGTAGCGTGAGGTCATGCATTGAATCCTTTGCATCTTGCTGACCTGGGGACAAGGAAAACAAGTGGCCGTAGGAAGCCTGAAGCCTTAAAAGACAGTGGGAGAGGTGCTGTCATCTCTGTGAGACGGCTGCAATCCTTGCAGGTAGAACTTGTGTCTTGATGCTGCCTGTTTGCTGAAAAAGCCTTGTTTGCAGTTCTCTCAGATGTTCTTGTTCCTCTCCTGGCCTTGCAGCCACCTTTCCCAGCCTGTTGCCTTTCCTTTCCCTACTGCTGCCAAGCGTCTGCACTGTTCCTATACACAGGGGAGCACTTTGCATTGCTGCATTTTATGTACGTCTGTCTCTTTTAGCTACCAGCAATGCTTTGTTTCCTTTGCATGGGGTGGGACAGGGGTAGATCTATCCCTGCATGTGCTGCTTTGCCAGTCAAGTTGTGAGGGAGCAACCTCTGCTGTTGAAGAGGGAAGCGACAATTTCTAATCATTCCCAGTGGCAGCTAGGACTTACCTCCTGACGCATGTCCCCTGCCACCCAGACCAGCAGCGGTGGCTGTAGCTAAAGAAAACAATACTGTAAAGCAGATGGCAGATTGTGTTTCTTCCAGCAGCTGGAGCGAGTAGCACTTTTCTAGAGGTGAGAAAGTACACTTGCTTTTTCGCTGTCGTGGAAAAAGCTGCCTTGGCACCTGGGTTGAGCTGCTGGATGCTTGTGGCAGTTCTGTAAGGATGTAATTGTTCTGTCCTTGTAGGAATGGTCGGAAAGCTGAAAACAGCTATGCTAAACAATGTGAGCCGAGGGAAAAGCTGAGAGTAAATAGCCTGTGCTTATGAGAACATTGCCCCTGCTGATCTACCTTGTCCTGCTGCATACTGCAAAGTCATTGCTTCTCAGGGCAATGTGCTCACACGGGGGGTGGCTTCAATTTGCTCCTTTTTTTTTTTTTTTTTTTCCAAAAAGGAGATAACTCCTCCTATGAGGGTCACTGTGGGCTCTGGCAGCGGGCCTGACTGCAATGGCAAACAGCAGACCTTTAGCCTGAGCAGGGAGGGCGGTAGCAGATCACACTGCCAGTCTGGTCCCATCTCCAACCTGCTGCTGGGCTGTGCAGTGAGGGAGGCAGGAACCTGGGCAGCACTCCTAAAGAGTGTTGGTGCCCACATGAAGTTGCCGGTTTACACCCTGAGGGACGGGGATTTTTTTTCATACTGAGATTTTTGGAATAATATCTTGTCTTCTCCTGTCTTGCATCTTTCTATTTGTGCATAGAAATGGTATAAAACTTAAGGAAAATATCCACCACCGTGGGCTTTAGACTGGACATTGTTGGTCTTTTCAGCATGCCCGCTGGTTCCCCTTGGAGGGAGGCTGTACCTCCTCCCCAGGGATGTGGTTTCAACAGCAAACACTCCAAAGGATCAAAAAACGTAGCTGTCGTCATTCCTTGCAAAGCCTGGGACCGTGTTGCGACAAGGTGTGTTACCATAGTGCAAGCTTTGCAGGTTTTAGGTGATCGTTGGAAATGCCCTTTAGAAGCAGTTCTCTTCTCCCCAGCTATTTTCAGTAACTCTTCTTCATGTCTTTCTGCTGTAGGTTGTTGCTGACTTAAACGTCCCTTCCTTGGTTTTCAGGGTCCCAACGTAATGGCAAGAGTTTCCTTACACTTTGATGTGCTAATAAAGAAGGTAAAATAAAAATCAAGCTTCATATCAATGTTCAACATCAAAATTACCAGCAAGATGATTCTGATGCTGATTGTAGTGCAGGTGCTCTGGCTGTACAAAATCTTTTTTTTGCCATGACCTGGGAAGGCAGCATAGGAGTTTCGGTTTTTATACCCACTGATTGCTCGTCTCCTCACCTTGGGCAATAATGGATTTTTTCAAGTTCATGCTCTCGTTTGGCTTGCAGTAGGCCATCTCTTGTATTTTCATTCTGCTGTGGCATTTATTATTCAATTCAGGGACACTAGGATGCAGTGTAACAATTCACTTGCACATTAGTAGTGATCAATGACATGAAAAAAAAAAAAGCCTGCTTACTTTGTGCCTGTGTGCTGTATAAAAGGATGTGTATT